GGGGGGGCATTTGAAAAGAAAGAGTTAATGGTGAAAACTAATGCAGACTTGTTTATTTTCACTGTAAAAATATTTGCTGTATTCATGCAGTGCCTTTGACCTACAAAAATATTTTTGCAGTGGAAATAGCTCTGTTTTCCTGGCAACTTTAAGCAGTATCTCTCTACAAGCTGCTTCTGATTGCTCTACACAGCTAAACACTGGCCCCTATGAAAATACATGGGCACAGATTTCTTTGTAGTACGGTCATATGAAAGAATAAAGTAAAACAGTGAAAAGGAAAAAAAACACTTACCACACTTACCACACTCTCTGTATACTTAACAACTTGACAGTTAATACCCTATGAACCAGCACTAACACAGTTGGAAATGCAGCCCTAAAAACAAGATTACTGGTTGGCTCATACTCTTAAGCCCTACAATAATACCCAATACAAAATGCTTAATTGAGCGAACTCCAGTGAACTGAAGATACTCCTCATGAACAATGAAAACTAGTATTTTGGGAGAAGAAATTCCGGACATAAAATTTTATGTACATTCTGAGAAGAGTAGTGGAGATCTCAAGTAGTCAACTTTGGATGGAACTACACAGAGAACAGTAACTTTACATTTTTAAAAAGCATATAACCATTATTAAAGACCATCAATGTAGAAACACATCATCATTTCAATTTATCTGTTAAATATTTCCATTTATTTACAGAAGGGAAATCTCTTTTTCTCTGTTTAGAAAGAAAACATGCAGTAGTCCTTAAAAATTTATCCAGTTGTTAAACAGTGCTTAATACAACCTTCCTCTAATCTCAATTTCATATTTAAGGCAAATACACAGTGTGAGTCATACAGGAATTAATTTTAACCTCAGTATGAATAAAAGTGAAACTGATTAATACCTGTTTTGTGCATGAATACTAAGAGCTTAGAGAATTTCAATGGGTGCATAAAAATACAGCAACCTACCATCAATTAAAATGTTAACAAACTCTTTATTTTATATATAAACATAAGCACTTATTTTTACTTCACTTTTCATTTAAATTCACTTAAACAATCACTGTATACGATGGCAGGATGTAACCAATTTAACATTCTCTTACATAAATCATTTGTGTAGCATTTATGTCAGTTTGGAATAAAAAAAGATACAATCCATGATTATCATAATTATGCACAAAATTACATGAAAAAAATGCCTTTCACTGGGTGGGTAAGAGCCTTCTACAGGAATGAAGAGGATAATTGCATGAGGTACTCATCTTATGGCAGTATTTTGAAAGCAACAGAAGATAAATCCCTCCTCTGTTTCTACAGCTTTTGTATTAAATCTTTCTTAATCTATTTTGAAACAAATCACACACAAAATTCTATCCTTGAGTTTGTCTCTAATAGACAAACAAATACACTTCCACTTGTAAGAACCTGACCACTCTGAAAAGTCCTAGTCTACACTGATCAAGTCCCTCTATTTCCAGAAGTACTATGAGACCATATCAGGTCCAGAGCTTAGAGAATCAGCAGAGAGCATTTAACAGAAGTTTGGGGGGGAAAAAAAAAAAAATAAAAATTGAGTTACACAGTTAACATCAATGCAAAATGAACAGCTACCTGTAGTTCAGGGATTTGAAAATTTTCTTTACAAAAACCCCTGTTTGTACTGGGAAGTTTTAGACAAATTTTCATCCTGTTAGTTTTTAATTTTATTCTCTCATTCTTTTAATTTTCTCTCCTTGTATATATGCAACATTTCAGGCTCTTCTGCCTTAAAAATCTCAATTTTCCAGAATGTATAAGCAAATGTCTTCATTAAAGCATTTTCATTCCCTCTCTTCTGAAGGATAGATATAGATATATATATATAGAGAGAGAGACAGACAGACAGATAGATAGATATGTGTGTGTTTCAAAGCAAAGGATCAACTGGTTTTGGATGCTTTGCTTTAGTTTAACTACTCATAAACCACTTCAGTAATACCCAAGAACAGTCTCAAGTTTTCAAGGCTTATCTTTAAAGCATACAAACATGTTATACTACTGTGACTGAAACACTGACTGATTAGTTTCAGTACTATTTAGCTTGTATAATGATAAATACTGCTGTTTTGTAAGCACTGATAAATAGTAAATCCAGAACTTGTAACACAAAAAGATCACAACAGACTTTTTCTAGTAATTATTCTAATAGTAAAAAATTAAAAATCTGAAACAATGTTCTGCTCAATCCTGTTTGTTTTATTATATAATGGAGATTAACATCAGGAAAGGTCTGGAGAGGGCAATTGACTAATTGTGAGAATTTATTTTAAAAAGTTAAAAAATTAAACATGTACTCTTTGGAAGCAAAAAAAAAGTAAATATGACCTCAGTGAGGTCTAGTAAAATTCTGAAAGGAACAGAAATGGAAGATGATAGTAAGTTTACTGGATCTTTTTGTCAGTACAAGAACTAGTGTCATAAACTCAAGCTAAGTAAAGGTCAAGCCCTAAAGGAGTATCATATATCCAGAAAATAGTTAAATAAAGTAAGTTATATGCATTTATTTGAGTGTCTGATTTAAATAGATGCAGACATATTTATCTCAGATCCAGAATTCAGCATGGATATACATGTTCCTTTGTTAATGAAAACTGAGATGAGTTTTGGTATAACTTTGAGGACTTCACTAAGTGACAAACCCGCCTCTGACTTAAAAATGCTTCAAGGGTACATTTTCCTCTGTTGTTACCACCAGCCGTGCTACTAATCTTGGGTTTGAGTGCCTTCATTCTAATTTAGCATTCTAAACTTTTATTTAAAAGATCTTCATGCAAGAACAGAAGCTTTTTCGTGATGGGTGAACAGGCATTCTACTTCTTTTTGGACCTGCTAAATAAAAATGCAATTCCTTGCTGAAAGAAGCATCACAGACTACTGAAGTAAGCCCATTTGTTAAAACTATTAAAAAAAAAAGTTTCAGAAAAAACGCCCAAAATACTAAACATTTGAAGGCAGGATATTTCTGATATGCAGAAACTTCTCCAATGCTTCCTAGTTATATTTTCAGTGAAGCTTAATAACAAGAAACTCGCTAATCTCGACTAGAAGAGTTAGGGCACTTTGGAGTCCTTTGAAAAACCGCATGTAGTATTTATTATGACGCCTCATCATGCATTGGTCAAATGACTTTTGTGATTGTAATGGTTAGGGTTAAACAAAGCATGGATATGAATAAGAAAATATACTCTCTTCTACCTGCCGTGCTTTATGTGCTGTCTCAATGCCATGATTTCTTAGACAGCTTAAAGCCCTTGCATCTGGGGAGCGCCCCACGTTCCAGTCTGAAACAGCAGCACTGTCTGTCATCCACTGTAACAACAAAACAAATACATACACATATTTAAAGAAAACTAAAATACAGTACCTGCCTGGCAATATGATTCATGGTAATGCCATGCTTCTTCATGCAAGCCTGTCCTCGATAGTCAGGAGAGCTTCCTATTTCATAGGCAGATGTCGCTGCACTGTCTATCCTCCACTACAGAAAAACAAATTAATATTTTTATGTTTCCTTTCTCACTGCTTATATTTCTACTAACTGACTATGAGACAGTTATTTCTTACACAGGAACAGAAATAGCTTACCTTATTTTCAACTTTTTCATCAGTTACAAGTTTTCTAAAAACTGCTTCAGCTATTGGAGAGCGACAAATGTTTCCTACAGAAACGAGATTAAAGTGAAATTTCACATGAGTAAAAATAAACAAACAAAAAATCAGTAATTGTGTGGATTTTCCATATTAAAGATTTCTATTTACTTAGGTAGAATGGAGATTGCTCATGTTATTATAGCCCAAGAGATTCTGCGAGGGTGGAAACCAGAGTCCTGCATCTGGGTTAGGGCAGTCTCCATTATCAATACAGATTGCAGGATGAGAAGGACCTGGGGACATCAGTGGGTGAAAAACTGGATGTGAGCCATCAACGTGCATTTGCAGCCAAGAAAGCCAATCATATCCTGGGCTGCATAAAAAGAAGTGTGGCCAGCAGGTTGGGGGAGGGGATTCTCCCCCTGTACTCTGCTCTGGTGAGACCCCACAGGGAGTACTGCATCCAGCTCTGGAGTCCTCAGAACAGGAAAGACATGGACCTGCTGGAGCAGGTCCAGAGGAGGGCCACAAAAATGGTAACAGAGCTGAAACACCTCTGAATGAGAACTGGTTTTGTACAGCTTGGAGAAGAGAAAGACTGAGATCTTACTGCTGCCTTTCTATATATAAAGGGGGCTGTAGTGACAGGACAAGGGTCAATGGTTTCAACTGAAAGAGGGTAGATTTATATTGGACATAAAGAAGAAATATTTTAACAATGTGGGTAGTGAGGCACTGGCACAGGTTGCCCAGAGAAGCTGTGGCTGCCCCCTCCCTGGCAGTATTCAAGGCCAGGTTGGACGGGGCTTTGAGCAACCTGGTCTAGTGGAAGGTGTCCCTGTCCATGGCAGGGGGTTGGAACTAGATGACCTCTGAAGGTCCCTTCCCAGCCAAATCATTCTATGATTCTATACTATCCATTAGTCTCTCGAAATGCATGTTATTGTATGAAAAGATACAACTTATTAAATAGGAGGAATATTGTGTAAGCACACTGCTCTTTTCTTCTCCTCTACAAAGAATCCGTGATCACAGAGAACCTGGCAAAATTAAGGAATTCAAGTGGCAGCAAATCATCTTTATCTTCCAATCTTCCTACATACTCGCAAATTTCAAGTAATGCTTTAGTAGAGAATCATAAATATTTGCCCGAAGTTTTTACAGTACTACCTACCTGTTAATAAAAACTTTTGGACAATTCCAAAACACAGCCACTATCACTGTGGAACCAACACAGTGAAAGAGCTGAACAACCTGTAGTACAAATGGTCCTGACCACTGAAGGGAAGTCACTGCAGCTCAAACTGAACCCTCATCAAGAAGCAGCTTCCAGATACCAATTCCAAAACCCCACAAAAGAAATCAATTACACAAGCACTAAAAACACCTCCGGAAAATAAATCTTCCAAATTTTTTTGGTCATAAATATGAAGGATTAGGAACAAAACATAACTAACTGATGGCAAAGTGCTATCAATCAGCCAACAGTTAAGATACTTATTTATATAAATATGTAATCTGTCCTCCCTTCCAATGGCCTCCAATTACACTAGTCACTTGATCTGACCTTATTGTCAATAATAATATATTTCAAAAATGAAACAGTATCCTGTTAAAAAACTAGGAATAATGGATCTACAGCATTTTTGCTCCACTGCTGAAACTGTAACTAAGTTAACCATCTAAGGCAGACCTCTCAAACATGCATGCAAAAATATATATTCTTTGAAAAAGAACGAAATGACTCAACAACAATAAAAAGTCTATTCAGCTACAATGGATATTCATAATATTCAATATGTCACCCAGATGCACAATAAATCATACAAATAAATCTTCACTTTCCATTGAAGAGAATGAATAACTTTGCTCATCCCTGACTTCTGAGTAGGTAAGTATAAAATACAAATGGCGACACTAATTTCTATACCTTTAAATAAGTCACTCTTCTAGTACCAATTAAACTATTTATAAATCTCAGACAGTAAAAAAAATGAAATGCCCATGAACAAAGTTAAATTTCCAGAAGCAAAAAGAAATTTTCAGGTCAGTCAGCCTCATTTTCATGCCTACAGAAAATATCAAGGTAGATACTTCACTGCTATAATCTGGCATTTAAAAACTTGGTGTCAATCATGCCAACTATTAAAAAAAAAAAAAAGTGGGAAGTGAACTGAATTAATATAAACTTGCTGTCAAGTTTTAGAGAACATCAAATCACTAAACGGGCAAAAGGAACTCGCTAACCATTGAGAAACTGATCTTGCTGAAACACTGAGTTTCAATGGCAGTAGCTCTTCCAGGAGAAAGCATACTATGTCCTTTGTTTGAGCTAGTTTATTCCAAGCAGAGAAATTAAATCAGTCTTGAAAGAAAAATAAAGCAGGAAAAAGTTGGTTTTATTTATAAAATAAGTGAGAAAACAGGTTAGTACTTACTAATTATAAAAATGTTAAAGAATTTGGTAATAAATTAAAAAGTCAATCTCAGTTCTTTAATTCAGTAAGCAAGTTAAGTATTATCAATTTAATTTTAATAGGAAACAGAGAGAACATGGTAGCATACAGCATGAGACAAAAGAACCTTCATAATCAGTGAGCCTAATCCTTTGATATTGCAGACAGATACAGCATCTCTTCTCTTACAAACGCATCAAGGTCTCATTTAAGGATGATCTGAAAATGCTATTCCAGATACTCATATCCTGTAGTAGCCTGAAACCACACATTTCCCACTTAATATTTATTCTTGGAAGTCTATGCTCATCTGATCATGCTTAACATCACTATTTTTAAAAAAACTTTCTCTCCTTCAACAGCTACAGAACCCTTGTCAAGCATAACTGTGCTAAATCAAACAAACCAAGCTCTCGGTCTCCTCACGAAATTAACTGACCCTGATCTAATCACTCCAGTTAAGGCAACTTTGAAGTTGTTCTAATTTGGATTTATTTTTCTTGAATACGTACAAATAAAACCACAGAGTGCAGTAAAAGTTTTTACCAATTTGTTTTAGAAAAGAAAAAAATACCTCTGAAATATTTACTTAGCTTTTTTGAAAACAACCTGAGGTAAACTTCTACAATCACTTTTGACTCCACGAGTATCAGATTTGCACTCATAATCCCCTACTTCTAATTTGTCCATCCCCTTTCCTTCTCTGTTGCTTCAAACAGGTGACCTTTAAGTCTTCTTTCTAAACTATTAAATTGTTTCCATTACAGCAGTTGTTGAGACCATCCCCTTCTTCCTATACAATATTTCTCCCACACAACTACTATGAATGTAATAAATGTCATTAATACATTCAAAATTTCAGTAATAAAACAATTATTAATACTATTGGTGCTATTAATTCGTTAACTAGCTCCTAGAATTTCAAAATGGTACTTTTGAAATAAATCCTTCATGGCTTTTTCTACCTGATTAATCTTCTGCCTTACCTGGACTGAATGACTTGATCCAAATTTTCACTCTTTCTATAACCTGCTCACTACTTAAAATATTGTTATATCATCTTTGATGATATCAAATATCATCATGAATGGCACCATGATCACTGTTTAAATACTTTAACTACCACTGATAGCAATAACTAGAAACTGCAGTTGTATTATTTTCTGAAACAAACATATAACATAGTTTGTGACTTAAAAATTAATGTCTTCCATAATGACACATTCCAGATATTACCCGAGGTATTAACAGTACTACAGAACTGCAATCACCAACCCCATCTATTGTTAAGAGACTATGGACAAAATCCCAGAACTGACTTAATACAAGCTCTTTTTTCCACATACTCTGCAATATTATTTTCACCCTAACCAACATTGTTTACCCATGCTATTCCTTGCAACTGTTGTCATTCATCTCATCATTAAATGTAAAGCCCTAGCTTATCTCACTGACATATGGAAACTTCAATCCCTGTTTTTCAGTCACCATCCCTTTCCCACTATAATTTCTATCAATTTCATATCCAGTTTTATATCCTACATCTGCCTTTCCAGCTTTGTCAAGGCTCCTCACAAAGGGACATTTCCTAAATTAAGGATTGACAGCTGTAATTGGGAAATTAAGGGGGAAATCTCACAAAAAGGTTCATAGGGAGATTACCTTCCTCCTTGGACTTCAACCGTATTTTCCTTAAATCTTATCTTTGCTACCTATTCTCCTCTGGTGTTCCTTTCTCCTGTGTTGTACTTCTGACTGATCTGATCGTGTTCTTTTTATGTGGACTGTAACAGCATCAAAATTCTCTGAATTTCCATCTTCCCCCTTCGTGTTTTAAACTTTAAGCTCTTTAAGTCATAGTCACATTTTCAATCATAGAAAACTAGCACCCAAGTTGCCCAGAGTTTGCCCATTGAAATAAACCCTACAAACATCTCCAAATACAATGATTCCAGGATAAGAAACTTAAATTTCAAACACAGAATCAGTACTGGAACCATCTGTTGATCACTTCTATGAAATCATGCTTTCTCACTCATTTTCTAGGAACAAGGACTCCACTGACTGTTATCCCAGCCAATGCTTGGTTTTTTGAGTTCTTACTCCAGTCTCTGCATTAATCTTTGACCCATTTGTATACAGAAATTGAAGCACTGATTCCACTGACAGGAAAGACAACCTGAATCCATTTCATGCTCAGTCTGTAGCTCATCTCTAGGTACTATTGATATAATCATCTTTTAATTGTTTTAGTATCTTCATTGTTCCTTATTCAGCTCTCTTAACTCTTTCAGACCTTCTAAAAAAAAAAAAAAAAAAAAAAAAAAAAAAAAGCTTTTCTCTTCTTCATTTTTCTGTCTACTGTTTGCAATAGAAGTTTTACAGTTTTCACCCTCTCACATTTAAAAAACTGCTTTTAATTCTATTTATCTTTCCATGCATGGTCACTTCATGTGAGTGACTGTAGTAATTCTTCCCAGTATCATCTGCATCATCCATAAGGTCCCCCTCACACACAAGTGTTTAAAGCTTACTACTCACTCTATTCCATTCTGTATTCAAATTCCAATCTGAATTTCATCATGAATCCTAGCTCTCTCCATTAAGTCTATCCTGCCACACTCAGCATTCAGTTAGCTTTGTAACAAACCATTCACAGCCCTGATTTTAGTCTGTATTTCCCGGCCTTTCCATTCACAGACAACTTTACTGAATACTTACACTCTGTCTCTGAAGCACCCAAGTATATAGCTACCTAAATGACATCATCTAACTTCCATATATTGCCCCACTACCAGCACACAGTGGGATTTCTCTATATGTGTGTGTATATATCTATATCTATGTATCTATATCTATATATATATATATATATATATATGTATCTAAGCAGAATTCAATTTTCCTCAAAATATCTAAATGGGGATGTCTGCAGGAGCATTAGGCTTCCAAGTCCCTAGCCAATCAAGGCTTAGTTGATGTAATCAATGTCAACAGCAATATGACTTGTCAGGATTCATGATAGTCAAACCATCAGCTACTTATCTGAATGTTCACATTTTAAAAATATTTCTCTGCAGCAAGATTAAAGAATCATAGAATAGTTTGGGTTGCAAGGGACCTTAAAGATCATCTAGTTCCAACCCCCTGTCAAGGTCAGGGACACATTCCACTATATTAGGTTGCTCAAAGCCCTGTCCAACCTGGCCTGGAACACTGCCAGGGAGGGGGGCATCCCAGCTGCTCTGGGCAACCTGTGCCAGTGTCTCACCACCCTCACAGGAAAGAATTTCTTCCTTATAGATAATCTAAAACTACCCTTTCTGTTTAAAACCATAACCCTTATCCTACCACTACAATCCCTGATTAAGAGTCCTTCCCCATCTATCCTGTAGCCCCCTTTAAGTACTGGAAGGCCTCAACAAGATCTCCCTGGAGCCTTTTCTTCTCCAGGCTCAACAACCCCAACCCTCTCAGCCTGTCCTCATAGAGGAGGTGCTCATCATCTTTGTGGCCTTCTCTGGACCTGCTTGAGCAGGTCCACGTCCTTCTTATGTTGGGGGCCCTAGAGTACTGCAGGTGAGGTCTCACTAGAGTAGACTAGAGGGGGAGAATTACATTCCTCAAAATACTGGTCATACTTCTCTTGATGCAGCCCAGGACATGGTTGGCTTTCTGAGCTGTGAGTGCACATCACTGGCTCATATTCAGTTTTCCATCCATTAGTATCCCCACATCCTTCTCCACAGGGCTGCTCTCAATCCACTCATTGCCCAGCCTGTACTTAGGATCAACCTGACCCATGTGCAGGACCTTGCACTTGGCCTTGTTGAACTTCATGAGGTTTGCATGGGCCCACCTCTCAAGCCTGTCAGGGTCCCTCTTGACATTCCCTCCCTCCAGCGACACCACACACCTTGGTGTCCTTGGTGAACTTGCTGAGGGTGCACTCAATCCCACTATCCATGTCACCAACAAGGATGTTAAACAGCGCTGGTCCCAACACCAACCCCTGAGGAACACCACTCGTCACTGCTCTCCACTTGGACACTGAGCCCTTGACCACAACGCTTTCAGTACAACCATCCAGCCAATTCCTTATGCACTGAGTGGTCCATCCACCAAATCCATGTGTCTCTAAATTAGAGACAACGATGTCATGTGGGACAGTGTCAAATGCTTTGCACAAATCCAGGTGGATTATGTCAGTATTTAGCTATATCTAAATGCATATAATGGACTGTGACAGTTAAACCTGGAAACTCAAACCTCGCTATAAATGTAACCTAATTTCCTCATACCCAATAAATTGTCATTTTAGAAATTATTTTATGCAGTCTAGAACTCTGATGGCAGTACTCATACTCAGTCATTCCCAACAAGCATCAACGTTCTGAGGACCCAGGCAAAACCACTTTGCTTCCTGTTCACCTGTCTTACAACTGTTCCTCCACACATGGAGGAGATCAGTAAGCCAGTGCTTAGCCTAAGTTGCCCATGCATCCTGGTATGTTATAGTGGACAAGTCATCAGAGAGAAAGAGGCCAACTTATGTAACACAGCATCATATTAAGCTCATTTCTGGAGCTCAACTATTAAGTAGATGAACTACTTAAGTGTAAAAAGAGCAAATTGCATTTTGGTTCACCTCCAATTTTAATTATTTCTTTACCTTAAATGAAAAAAAATTCTTTCCAGGTGCCTTTTCTTATACTGTAATTACATATGTTGCTGGGTGTTTCATTTATTTCTCAGTGATGAGGAACCCTTATCATTAATGTAGTTATGCACATTAACTAGATTGTATTTTGTCGTGTAATTAATATCCGCTTATCTCATTACAAACAAAGAACAGAGTCAATAGATATTTCAGTAATAGGTTTCTTTTAAAATAATGTAGAGAGAAAGTGTAATTTTTCATGGACTTGAACTTCCAGGGATCAGCTCTCAGTGAGAAATTTAATGTGCTCCATTAACCAACACAGAATACTACAGATGAATGCAGTTCTAGAAATCTGTTTAGGACTCTTGTCAGCAATAACCACAGATATTATTTCTAATAAAATTTAGGAGGAAAAATATCTATTAAGGCATTAAGTATTACTCTTCAAGGCTAACAAAAAAACTAAGCAAACTTAAAGCAGCAAGTTGCCTTCAAAACTTAAATTAATAGAGTATATATTTGACCGGAAAAAAGAAGTGCTTGTCATGTCAATTAAATTTTATGTCACACATCACATACCATTATGGTTATTTTTTAAAACCTAGTAACTCAGAAGAGGAAATTTAAGATATTTACAACCCTTGTTTTAAAAAAATCCATCCTATTACATCAGTCCTGACTTGTTCACCCTTTTCTCAAGCTTAGTATTAATAATTTCACTCCATACCTAAATTTTTGTAGTATCTTCCACTAACAACAGTTCCTCCGAGACTCAACTGGATTAGGAACTTGTTACAGTGCAAATCACTATTGCGGGCTTACAAACCCGTATGTATGAATTGTTTCATGAAGATTACTACTGCCTTTAGAACATAGTGCTTGGAAAGAAGGATGCATATTAATTAAAAGTTCTTACACAGAAATGCTTGTCTAGGCCACTGGCTCCCAAAAATACTGATAATCCCTTACTAAAGAATGTTTTCCCTAAATGATTATTAGCGGCTGATTTTACACTAAGGTAAACATCAGAACATATTTCACAAAACCAAATGTTTGTTTTGCTATTCAATTAATCTGCATTTCTCCTATTACAACAGAAAAGCAGATAGCAAAAAACCCCAACATAATAACCAATGGTTTTGTAAGAAAACTGGAGAAATGCCAGAGATTCACAGGGATCAACTCTCAGCACACAGGTAAGATTATAAGGACTAGGCAGCTGATAAGAGCAGAAAAGCCCTCTTAGATCAGAGCAAAGAGCCATTTAAGATGCTATCCTCAAAAGGAAACAAAAGCAGATGTTTAGAGAAAGTATGTACATAATGGGACATGGCTCTGTAATCCATATAGTCAGGCTTGCAATCTGTTTGTTGTGAAGATGCAGGTCATCTTGTTTATCAGTAACCAATTATCTTAAACTTCAGAAAAGCATCCAAACCCTTTCTAATCCCATTTACACTTCTTTACATTTACACTACATTTTCTATGACTTCTCATGATAGGAGATTCACAATATAAACACACAGAAAATTTTAAAAAAAAAAAAAAAAAAAAAGAAAGAAAGAAAGCTTCCTAGTTCTTTATTTAGCTTCAGAAAAGTTCTACTCTTTTCACTCCTTTGCGTGACGGCCAAAATTTCATAGATCAAAACCGTCTCCAACTCCACCAAGTTCTTTTTCTTACTTATAAGCCTAACATATTTTCCTTCTTCTTAGAGACTGATCCATTAACTTCAGCCATTCTTGTCACTGTTTTCTCTCCCTTTTTAATGTCTGGCGCTCAGGAGGTACGGCTGCCGACAGGTAGCACCAGGACACTTGCTGGTGGATCCCTCATTCCCTCCTCGGTGTTCTAGAAGCTAAGCACCGAGCAACCCCCGCCAGAAAGCTATTCCCAACCACCACTCAGCGCTGCTCGTGAGCAGCGGGTTTTAATTCTAAGCTCACGTTGGTTCATGCGTATTTAGATGCCGCTCTTCCCCACAGATAACCTTACGTTTATCAATGCTGGATTTCACGTGTTATTTCCTACTGATTACTCCGACCTATCACAAAGACAAACGGAAAGGAGATGGAAACAGCCTTCCGCCTCCCTTCTCGGCTACTCCTCCGGCCATCCCCGGAAAGGCAGACATGCCCAGAGCCACCCAAGGGCTCCCGCGACCCTGCCGGGCGGGACCGCTCCCCAACAGCGGCCTTGGCCCCACCGCGCTCCCTCACGCCCGCCCGGCACCCCTGACCGAAGAGCGGCGGGGGGAGGACGGGAGAAGACCCGCCTCTCCCCCGCCCGGCTCACCCAGGCACACGAAGAGCACCGACTTCACCTCCCCCGCCGCCATCTTCGGTCGAGGCCAGCCAGGCACGCGGGGAGGGGACCTTCCCAGCTGTCGCGCCGCCTGCGCCTCGCTTTACGGCACCGGCCGTTACAGCTGGCCTCACTTTTTGCCCGATTTGAGAAAAAACGGCGAACTGTGACCCTTTCCCAAGCACGAGTGCACGCACTGGGGGGTGGGGGGGACATGGACACAAGTAGGACGGCGCCGCACTCGTGGGCGGCAGGCAAGCAGGCAGCAGGCAGGCAGGCGGG